CGTTCTTTCGTAAATTCTGTCGGCAACACTAAATGGAGGAATAGCAATATTAAGGGACCTCACGGACGCCACTTGTGGCAGACTTGTTTCGTTAACTGAAGACATGTTAATGTACAATTTATAGTACGCGAATAAATTAAAAAAAATAAGGGGATGAAATTAGATGGACGATAATAATGTTAACAACAATTAATAAAAGGTTATAACACGGAACAGACTTACTAAAATGCAGCAGTAAAACAGTATTATGTATAATGACGTAATTCGTAATTGTTAATATTTTCAAAATATGTCAAATAATGTTTATGAAATAATTGTCATGCAATAACGATATGATAATGATAATAATCCAAAATGTTAATTTAATCCACAATAGTAATTCGTATCGAAATAGTTATTGTCAGTGATATTGCGGACGCGTTCGATTTGTGGTCGTAGTTTTTGGTCTGTCGTCGACATCAGCAAATTATTCCTGGGAGCGTCGAGGTTACCAATTTTTGTTGGAAGCGTCGATTTTTTGTCAGTATCCGTAAATATCCTGAGAACGTCGGGATTACCAGTTAGTGGTTCTGTTCGATTTGTCCTCGAAATTACCAACAGGTTGGTTATATTCGATTTGTCATCGGAATCGTCTAATTATTACTGGAAACGTCGGGCTTACCAGATGAGGTGTGCCGATTTAATGCGTGTTCTTACGTTTCGTAATAAGCTCGTTCAGACTACCTTATCCCAATGACGTCTGACGGTTAATAAATCAGAAGATGAATTCCGAGTATCGTACACGTTTATTGTAGCACACCACAATTAATAATAGCAGACCACAGACAGACCGGGCAGACAGACTAGTGAGCGAATATGCGAATGTGCGAATGAATTAATAAGATAAAAATGTTCGTATATATACAAAGGAAAATGTCTGAGTCATCGTGGTATCTAAGAGATTAGTATTAAAGCGAATAGGATGCATATGTGCGTAGGCGTTAAGCAATGCTCAGTCATACTAGCTCATACAAACCAGATAATAAAAAATACCAATGGTACATATAAGTTATTGTTTTACAAATGGCTTGGTTAAATAAATTAATCGAAAGGGCTTAACCAAGTTAGATGTGAGAGAAGTGAAATATATGTGGAGGCACTACAGCATACACGTGGTATCCGTTTGCTTACCACAAACGCGTTTATTGCGCAACATTTCGTTCCTTCCCACTTTATGGCAGTGAAACATAGCCAGTCACAACATAGGATATTCGTAGATTACTGGTTTTTCATCAAAGGTGTCTTCGAAGCATAGCTTGAATATCCTGATACCTCCAAGTAGGCAGTGTTGATGTTAAAAAATGAGTACTAGGTAAGGATGGGAAATAAATTGATGCAGTATTGAAAATTAATTAGTTGAGTTTGTTGAGCAGTGTATGACGAATACACTACTACCGACTGCCTCGATGAGCTATGAGACCTCTTATACGGGTAAGCTGGAAGAAAGCCAGGGTGTAGCATAATCAAAACATTACACAAATCCATGACGTCTCTGACGACTATTCCGAGCCGTATTAGTAGATTTGCACTACAACACTGACCAATGGTTATAGGCTTTGAATGATGTAGCTTAAAAATGAGAAAAGAGTCATCGGAATACGTAGTTATTGAAAAAATGCAACGATATACATGTTGATATACTTTTTTCCAAAGTTATTTGTTAAATTTTGCAAATCATCAAAAGTATCAATGAAATCTCCATATCCAGTGATGTGATGTCAAATTTATAGTATGTTCCTATCAGGTGTACTACCGTTATGACTTTACATTAACCAATACACACACTGCCCAATGCTAAATTGGCTCGACCGAAGTAGAATAATACAGACCACTGACCATGATTTATTACTCTATTTCAGACATTCATTTATAAACAGGCTAAATTGGGCCATATCACAGCAATAAATTGAAATTAACTAAAAGTGGCTGTGAGTAGGTGGATTTTGTAAGTAATCAACTGTCAACAAAGTTGGTAGAGTAAATCGTCTAATAATAATTTATCGATTAATAGATTTATAGAGATTTAAAGATTCTCTCAAATATTGTTTTTCTCACTTATTTTTGCACAGTGAAATCATCAATCAATTGTTGTTAGACTATCATTAGGAGAGAGGAAGCACTGGACGGCTGTTTTGTCCTGGTAAGGGACTCATCAGCAGTGCCCATCCACCACCCGTGGCTCTCAGGAATCGAACCTAAGACCTTCGGTTTTGTGCACTAACACTTAACACCTAGACCTCAGTGTTAATGAATAACTTTGATCAGTGTTAGTTATTGCGCACCCTCACTCATTGTCGTCGGTAGTTACCGCCTACACCTGACGAGGTTGAACTCCATCGGTCATGGCTCTTCATCAAAGCTGATGAAATGCCTTTTCATTGTTCTGTCCAAAGATTTATCAGTTAAAATAATGAAATCAATCAGTTCATCAAATAAACAACACAACTATTTAACTCTGAGTCAAAAGTTAATCTCATTGATTTGTAAATAAAATAATCTTATTTTACTAACGAAAGATAATTTAAACGAAATCTATATTCTGTTCAATCGTCAAAGTGTTTAATGAGACAACTTTATAGAATCTTTCAAGTGTTATTACTAATGAATTGCACTAGTATTTACTTACTTACCCCTGTGACCCTCAAATGAAGCATTGGCCAACGACCAGTATTCTCTAATCTACTCTATTTTGGGCATTCTCCTTTCAAGTTCTATTCAATCGCTGTTCATTCTTCCTATGACTGTTTCCTCTTCTCCTTTGGTTGTGAGGATTCCAATCGAGGGCTTGTCCTATGATGCATTTGGGTCTTTACTTCCGTGTGTGTTCTATCCACTTCCAGCGCTTTATCTGCATTTTTCCTCCACTAGAATCTGGTTTGTCCTCTCCTACAGTAGGTTGAGGCCGACAGTGTCAGGCCGACGTATGTGGAGTATTTTGCTTAGACAACTGTTAATAAACAATTGTATCTTCTGGATAATGGCTTCCTTAGTTCTTCTATGTTTCTTGCTATACAGTTGAACCGTGTGAAGCCCCTCTAGGGCTAATACCAATCCTTAGTTTAGACGAAGGGCGAGGGTTGGCAACATGTTGTAGAAAACTAACTCGCTAAAAAAACGCTTATCAAAATAATTAATTCAAACCACATTAAATCTGCACTAGTTTTTGAGGGTCTTCATTCTGAAGACTCATGACGTCTCATCAAGAAAGCCAAGTTTCTTCAGAGGTCACGAGGACAGTACCACTTCTCACATACAAGGAATGTTCGTACATTGTAGGAGACCGCGAGAGTCATCCAACTGCTGCGGAAATAAAAATATACAACCTGTAATTGCTTCCAATCAGTGAAAAACATTGGACGCAGGTTGAACAACAAATAGTAGCTTCAGTAAAGATGCTGTTATACTCCGGCCATTAACAAGAAAATGCTACACATACAAACAGAGTTGAACTGATGCTATCCAAACAAGCACAGTAGGCACTGATAGAATCGGAATGTCATGGAACTAGGATCATCAAAGCATCCTTCAAAACAAAGAAGGAGGGCATCAAAATGAATATCATTCAATGCTGTGCGCCTACCAACGAATATAATGAAGATGCTTAAGATCAATTTTATGAGACGCTGCAGTTGGTCGTTGAGAAATCCTAACCACTCTGATGGAATACCTAAACTCCAAGGCTGGAAAGGACAACACTGGATATGAAAACATCATGGGACGATATTGACTCAGAGAAAAGAAAGAAAACGGTGAGAGATTTGCAAACCGATGTGCCTTCAACAAACTTTTGACAGTCTGAACCATACTCCCACATGAATGCTTACACAAAGCTAGATGGATTTCACCGGATCACACTGCACAGAACCTAATCCACCATATTCTTCATCAACATAAAGTTCAGAAGTAGGATGGAGGACGTGAAAACCAAGAGTGGAGCCAACATCATTTCAGATCATCACTTGGTTGTACCCAAAATAAAGCTTGAACACTGGACAGCTGATTGAACAACATCACAAATGTTTGACACGGTCTTTCTTTAGGATGTTGACAAACTTAACAAATTCAAGATAACCCTCAGCAGTAGGTTCCAAGCCTTTCATAATCTGTTCAATGGAGAGAAACCTAAAATGGAGCAATAACAAAAAACCAGAATCTAACTCTTACTTACTTACTTACGCCTGTTACCCCCAATGGAGCAGTCAACAGTCTCAATCATTACTACAAAGCACGAAACAAAAGGAATTGAAAACTAATATGTACATTTATAAAAATGTTAGTTTCATTTAAGTATACGCAGATTACGTTTAATAGTTGTTAAATCAAAATTACTAAACACATTTAAATAATGAATGAAGGTGTTGTAACGCTTGCTTAGATAATTCCCGGCTGAATCCTGTTGCTTGGTATTCTCTGACCACACTATACACTGGACAAGTTCCAAAAGAATCAAAACACGGTTGAACAGGGGAAGATTATAGTCCAAATAGAAAAGGTTAAATGGAATAAGAGCCGAATGCGAAGGCAAAGAAGGCAAAAATAGATACAACGTTAGTCTATTTATAGCATTTACATGAAAATCTTCTCGATAGAAATTCACGTGATCGACTGTAATAGATATAACCAATCAGCATGCTGCTAACAATACGAGCATCATCTACCCTGTTCTCCAAGAATCGATCAGGCGCTGAGTGGATAGGAAATTAGCCAATCAGCGCGCAGCAACGTAGTCATGCTTTAATTTCATCTATGTTCCACTAACAGAAGGTTAGCCATATGAGTTGATTGAAATTAAGCATCAACATCAATGGATCGCAATTCAAGCTACGGAATTTCTCAACACGATTATGTCGAATTATTTTACAATTCTCAATCACTCATTAGAAAATCATCATCGTATAACTATTGATTGATTTGGTCATTGAAAAAGGAGTTATATGATAGAAAAAAAATGAGAAATCAGGTCAATGTAACAAGTAACATTTATTTAGAACAAATCAATAATATATGAAAATCAAAAAAAGGTCAAAATAATCGGTCAATCAATCAAATTAACTACTACCAGAAGAATTTACATCAAAATTAGTTTTAAAAAATTAGAATTTTGTTTATTTGTTTTCCATTATTGAAAATTGAATACATCGGATTCAATATTCAATTTATAATTTATAAAAGCAGACTTAAAAAACTGTATACATTTGAATAGAGAATAACTTCGAAAAATGTAGTCAAAATAGAGATATTTTGTCATATAAAATAACATAAACTACATTCAGATATGTGGTTTCGTTCATTGGATTTATTTCATTCAAACTCTTAAGTTTTAAAGTGTAAAATAATACTATCAATCTTGTTGTTTTTTATGCTTATCAAAAAATGATTTCATAAATAACATATACTGCTTCCAAAGAAAATTTGGGAAAAATCTTGTCAGATAAGCTTTGATTGCATGACCAATATAACCAAATGTTTCATTTTCAACACCAAACATATCTAAAGCACTGCAGGCATATTGTTTTGCATCAGGTACAAATAATGACATTTTGGCATAACCAGTCGCAGCGGTAGATATAAACATTGGACAAACAGTTTGTATAATTATACGATTATCATAGTTTTCATCAGATATTGATCGAGATAATTGATTTACAAATGCCTTCGTCGCAGAGTACAATGATAAAAACGGGAAAGCTCGATAAGCAGAATGTGAACCAATGTTAATGATTGCCATATTTGATGTGTGTTGTTTCAACATTTTTGGCAATACTAAACGTGTCATTATAGCAATTGGTAAAGTATTACAAAATATTATATTCTTAATAAAATTCAATGTTAAATAATCTGTTGTAGCGTAGTAGTCTAATTTAGGCTGACCCATACCAACATTATTCACTAAACAAGCAATTGATGACAGTTGATCAATCGCTTCTTTGATCCTGTCATAAACATCAACCTGAGAAGCAGGAAAAAAAATGCATAGATGAATATGAGATGTTTGCAGATGATTGGTCACTTAGAGAATGGTTTGTGTGACTAATTGACTTAGGTGTACAGTCGATCAATAATGAAAAGGAGCGATAATTGGCTGGTTTCTTTCACTAACATGACTCATTCACTCATAAACTAGTCAAGGCTTGTGTTCAAATAGATCAAGGACAAATTTAGGAATCAATACATGTAGATAATTATTTTCCAAGTTAAATAGCCAGTTTTCTGAGAAGTAATAAGTTACATCAATAGAGATAGTCCATTTTATTTTACAATAGGGCATAGGAAATGTCAGCCAGTATACCAATCAATTTCGGGAAACTATGAGATAAATGCAAATGATAAACGCCAAAAATAAAAAAAATATTTGTCAGATGAACTATGCAACCTTGAGCAGTGGCGGTACGTCAGCCAATGAAGTTAATGTGAGGCACGTTTACTGCTAGTTGTAAAATATAACTATGTCGATGAACAGATTTCAAATTGATGAAAAAACTTCCAGTCTTCCCTTGTCTTCCATCAGTTCAGTGGTTTAGCAGTAAAGCGCTCACATGCGATACCGCAGGACCTGGGTTTCATTCCCACGTGCACGCATTGTGGTTGCACATTGTTCATTAGCGATTCCTATAACAGGACGAATCGGCCATTCAGTGCTTACAGGTTTCTATTAGTGATGTAGCAATGACTAGTTCATTATTTCAGTAGTTTTTACAGGAAAATAGATTGACTAAGAAATAATTACAAAAGGAAACCTATGGTTCACACAAATTTTGGGAGATGAAAACTACTAAGGATAGAATTACATACATAAATCTACACATAGATACACACACACAGATACTCTCGTACTTACATTTGTAAAATCAGCTGTTACAACTCTCGTTTCTGTGTTGTATTTCTCTTCAATCTCATTGGCTACACGTTCAAGTTTCTGTGCATTCCTGCTAATTAACATTATCTTCAAACCATCACTAGCCAATTCTTCTGCATAAGCTTTCCCAATTCCATCAGTCGCACCAGTCACAATTGCCCATTCACCTGCATGTTTTAATAGTTTCCTTTTAGAAAATAACCTTATTCCTATTTTATAAGTGAATAGAATCAATAGTAGAGAGATGAATTGTTTCAGCAGAAATAAACAAATGATTACACTGATGAAATAGATCCAATCCATCGTCTACAGAGAAGTCGAGGCGGGAAAGAAAGAAAACAGAGAAAATCAATCAACCAATTGAATAAGACAGTTTCATTGTTTCATGTGAAATTGAACATTGATTACTGAAGGTCAACTTCACAGAATGATCATACTAACCAACAGATTTGAACGTGAGGGACTTCGACATTAGCTTAGTGGATTCATACTGAAAATGTACAAACTGTTGGCTAACATCAAAAGAGTACAAAACTGTTGGCTAATATTTCTACTTCAGATATATACCCATGTATTTAAATCTCGAGAATATTACTTGCCCATATGTCATGTTCCATATTTAAACGGATTTTCATTCAAAGATTATTAGTTATAGTTGAAATCTTGCAAATTTTACAGCAGTCTACTCACAGTCGACTGAAGTAACAGATCGCATTCACTTTGATCAAATTTCTCAGCGTGTTTACAATAGATAGATGTATAATTTTAGAAAAACATCACTGAATATAAATTTAAACAACTTACTTCTGAATAAATCTTCTCACAAATGAATAATTGAACAATTAACTATCAATGTACATGCTCAATATTAATTTATATGTTAGTACAACAGTGTTTTATTACATGTATCCAATCAAATGTTGAAAGGAATAATCAATAGACTATCAATGTCAGCTTTTGTGGTTTTTTCTGTAATAATGTAACATGTGATTCCAAGATTCAGCATCATAAGATATTTGTGCGGCATGAACGTTTGCCAACTTTGGTTTCATGAATTTTATTTACATTGAAATGTTTGACAATAGTTTCTGCCCGATACAATAGAACCATCTTGACATCTCTATCTAAAATTCTGACTTTGATGTTTGTTGATCGATGTTTTGATTTCCAAATGTACATCGATTGTTGAAATGTTACCCTTACTTTGCGGAGCCGCTCATTTACATCTCTATTAGATCCACCCTGCTCATCAGTGATGTTGTTGAAATATGTGAATGGTTCTACATCCTCAAAAGCCTCGTTTTTAAGTGTTAGTTGACTGGCGTATGTTGTATCGTATTGGAGAATCTTACTGCAGAGGCAGCTGCTACACCGGTCATCTCCTACATCTGTTGTTGCTTGTAGGATAAAAGAGCCAGATCCCCTGCAGGACCATCCAACTGCATTCTAGCTATCCACTTTATCCCTTGCTTCCTCTCAAATGTTGACATCTTCATAATCCAGTCGATCGCCAGAGAAGGGTTGCGAGTAAGCAACCTTACATGGCACTGGTCCTTACTTAGAACGAATTGGTGAGTGTAAGTCATCATAAGAATTCCACATGATGTTGACTATCTTCTCAGGCTGTTGATACTTCTTCTTCAGTTCAAATCTGGCAAAACAGAATGTGGAATATGCCTGCTGTTAATGCTACGTCATCTTTCATTGCCTCAGCTGGAATGCTATCTGATCCCGCTGCTGTGCCAACTTTCATTCGTTTGATGACCATGCTGATCTCTGCGATTGTTGTTGCGTCAATATTTATTGAGAAGTCAGTGAGTGGTGCATCGATTTTAGGTTGCTTCATTGAGGTTAGTCGATTCAGGAGTTCTGCAGACTGAACTAAACACTTGTTTCAGTGTGCTTCAATGACGGTGATTGCTTTTCCGTCCTTGTTACTCACTAGTCTGTGTGATTTACGATAATTTACAGAAGGCTCCTTTGTTGAATCATTCGATTGCCTCATGCTTATTTCTCTTGCAGACCTTTCTGCCGTCGTTGCTAGATCTTCCACATATTTACTATTGTCGGCTGTGATGCCCTTCTTGACTTTCTTCTTTGTTTCTGTGTATTCAGCTTGTGCCTTGGCTTTCTCTGCTCTTGCTCGGCCGATACTGATTGCTGCCTTCTTGTTCCTCCCTTCTTGAATCTTATCCAGAGTATCCACAATGATGCATTCCTTGTGCTGGTGCTTCGTGTTGCACAGAACTTCATGACATATTGAAGTTATTTCTTCCTTGATCCCTTTCCAGTTTTTCCATGTTGTAGTCTCCTCTTCATTAAGTTGTGAAAGATTTGGAACCTATTGCTGATTGCTATTTCGAATTCGTTAAGTTTGTTAGTATATCAAAGAAAGGCCGTAGTAAACTTTCTTCAGGCTGTTCGTCCCGTTTACCATCAACTCCCATCTATCCTCCACCGTCCTTCTGTATGTTTTATTGATGCAGATTTCGTCAGTTTGGTTCTATTTGGTGTAACCCGTTGAAATCCATAAAGCTTTGTGTACGCTTTTATGCGGGAATATGGTGCCACCTGTGAACAGTCTGTTGAAAAAATGTAGGTATGCGAACCTCTCACTATTTTTTTCAGGTCTCCCAGCCTATTTCGTTTCAGGATGTCTTCATTTCCAATGTTTTTCATTCTAACAATGGCATTTAGTTCTCTTTGAGTGTATTTTGGTGGCAACAGTGCAACTCCTTGTGTTCTGTGTAGCCTTTGCTTGTTTACGGCGGGAGTATAACAGCATCTTTCCTGAACCTAGTCTTTGTTTTTCAACCTGTGTTCAATGTGCTTCATTGATTGCGAACACTTCCAGGTTGTATATTTTTATTTCCGCAGAAATTTGAATTACTCCCACGGTCTCCCACATTGTATGAACATTCAGTGTACCTGAATTAATGGTTGCTGTGGTTGTGAAAAAATTTATCGGAATTATGACCTCAGCAGAAACTCAGATTTCATCTTTGGACGTCATTTAAACGAAACCGCCTAGTTTCCACGAGACACCATTTGAATTATTTTTTCTGGTTAACGCTTTTCTAACCGAATTAGTTTTCTACGACGTTGGGCCGTCAACCTCACAACCAACCCTCCTAATTTATACGGACTAGGGATTGTTGGCCAAAGACCTAGATATGCTAGAGGTGAAGTTGAAAATTAGTGCGAATAATTACACGCTCATTTCAAAATTTAGTCTACAAAGCTCAATCGTCATTATTAACCAGACAATATGTAATTGATAGATATTCAAGGAAAAAAAATAATATAAACAAACATTCAATCTCAATATATTGATCATCATTACACAATCAATTTCTAAGGGACCATGATTTTTCGGTATGAAGGTCTCGCTGATTGTTAAGTTTCATTAAAATGAAACAGCATCCATGTAGGCTACTGTGATACCTTGACCCAATTAGACCGGCAAGAAGTCTTGATATAGCGTACAAAGTGTATTCTACAAACACCCAGCCACCACACAATGAATACAAGAACTCAAATTGCACTCATTTATACTCCACAGAGACGTCTTCAGACAGTCACAAAAATGGTAAACTAAAATGACACAATAACCAATCACAGCCAAGGATTTTCCTGTTGGGAAATGTGATCTCACGGTTAACTGATTGCTGCAGGAAATAAAACCAAAATGAAGATATTTATCAAGCGAGTTCTTGGGTTCTAACATTCCCAACACATTTGTATCTGACCATGGTGTTGGTAGGTAGTTGTTTTGATTCACAGACGTTCTCCTATTGTAGAAATCGTGAACTTGCTTTAAGGATCCACGCCTTCACATTTGTCGTAAATCTATCTTTTTCATCAATGCTGTTTCCCAGATTCGTAGAAGTTTCCTCATCCTCCAATACTTTGTGGTGTGACGATTTACTGCGTGTTCTTAAGCTCGGTTTATAAATCAGAACATGAACTCGTAGTGATGAATACGTTTATTCGGGACACACCACAAAGCGAAGCGGATTGAAGAAGGCTAAGAGCCAACTCAAAGATACAGAGTATGACTAAGAATATTTAGTCAGACATAAGTAAGACAAACATATGACAAGCGAAATAGGTATGCACACATATGAATAAAAGCGACGAATGATTGACAAGGTCAAAAGCAAGCGACACAAACCATGTGAGTTCATGGGGATATTAAGAGATTAACATTAAAGCGAAAAGGATGAGTAAGTGCGTAAGCGTAAGCAATGCTCAGTCGTACAAGCTCATACAAACCAGATAATAAAAAATACCAATAGTACATATGAGTTGTTGCTATACAAATGGCTTGGTTAAATAAATTAATCGAAAGGGCTTAACCAAGTTAGATGTAAGAGAACTGGAATATATGTGAAGGCACTACAACCTCTCCGTCAAGTGTCTTTTCATTGACTCATTATTTGTTGTATCGGAGAATCTTGTTACTTCCGTTGCGTGTGTTGCACCTAATGTTAGTGCAGTCTCACAATCTCACTCAAGTTTGCAATCTAATCTGTTGACTTGTCACACTGATAACAATACATCGAAACTAATCAATAAAAATTCAACTAACTAAACTTCCAAATTCATTGAAGGCACAAACGTATTAGGTTTGACCATTGATTTGATTGTGAGTATACAGTTACAAACTGAATCTAACTACTTATTTGTTAATTGATGTTCATTCAAAATTCGATCAAACTACTCCTTGAAGTCATTTGTAGATGGTACTGATATACTTGTCCTGTTAGGGCTTTTAAGATGTCGACTACTCGTTGGGAAGCTTGCAATCCTAGATTAAGTCTATTCAGTCGAGGTTCCAGAAGCGTTTTTAAGGGTATTTGAAGATGATAAGTCTTAGAAGAGGTAAGTTGTTATTTCAAAAAACAAAACACTTCTCATTTAACTACTATCAGATGAAGGAAATACATGTTAGTCATTTCAATGCCCTTCATATCAGACATTCTGTTACCGATTTAGCAATCATGCTTTGAACATGCTGAATAGAATCCTAATTTTTATTTAAACGAACTAGTTACTTTCCACGAAGTGTTCTAGATGAGTTATCAACATGGTGAGATGTAGAATTTCGGAAGATTTTATAACGCTATTTCAAGCTTCAAATTTCGACTATAACACAGGGAATATTAATATCAGCAGCTGCATTACAGTATACAAGTGTTTACAAATCATGACCTATGATTCAACTCAAATCTCATCTTTTAGATATTTGTGTCATTGATATACACTAAGTAGTGAACGAATAACGACTGATATTTGCAAGCTGTATTAGAGAACTATATTTTATCCTCAAAGTATTTATGTGGTCTATAACAAAAATAATTATTTCAGCAAGGTATGAGATCTATGATATCGCTTTACAGCACACTACATATCATCCAGACACCATCCAGCTTATCCTTACTCACTATCTTTGAAAGCAATCACATTTATAATCGAATGTTGTATTGTGCAGGTTACTTCGAATTTGAGAAGCTTCTCGGCGAATTCTGAATAAAATAGATAATCTAATGTGTTGCTAAAATGTATGGATCTTGCACAAACGCAAGATCAGCTCCGTTAAGTGGCTGTTCAGTTGTCTATTGAAATCGGTATGTCATTTAAATGTAAACGTATTTGAACGAAACCCTTGTTAATCCGAAGTCAATAGATTTTGTGATTCTATGTTACTGAGCATCATATGTCAAAGGTTTTTCTGATTTAACTTGTATAGATCGCTAGTTAGATGAGAGTTGCCGCTTCCTATTCTTCTAAATGGAGTTAAAACAGCGTCTTTATGAAACGCTGTGAGTTGAGTTTAGCAAAGCCAATAAGTTGTTTCGAAATAATGTCTGTATTCTGTAAATACTAGGTCACGGATGACTCAGGCTAATGGTAAACAGGAGAACTTCGGTCGAACACATTCTAGGGCTAATACCAATCCTGAGATCAAATAAAGGACGACGGTTGACCATGGGGTTAGCGAGCACATGCCGTAGAAAACTAACTCGTTAAAAAAGTTAATCAAGATAATTAATTCAAACCACTCAAACTCAGCACTGGTTTTTGAGGGTCTTCATTCTGAAGAGTTATGATGTCTCATCAAGAAAGCAAAGTTTCTCCGGAGGTCACGAGGACAGTACCACTTCTCACATCCAAGAAAGGTTTGTACATTGTAGGAGACCGACAGAGTCATCCAGTTGCTGAGGAAATAAAAATATAAAACCTGAAGGTGCTCACTATCAGTGAAACACATTGGACGCAGGTTGAACAAAGAAGACTAGCTTCAGTTAAAATGCTGTCATACTCCAGCCATTAACAAGAAAATGCTACACATACATACGGGGTTGCGCTGATGCTAGTACATTAGGTGCTGATGGGATCGAACTGTCGTGGTAACAGGATTATCAAAGCATCTTTTAAAACGAGGAAAGTGGACATCAAAATGAACGTCATCCGATGCTATGCACCTACCAACGTTCATATTGAAGATGGTAAAGATCAATTTTATGAGAGACTGCAGTTATGAATTCTCGCTCATTGGATTTATTTCATACAAACTCTAAACTTCGTAAGTATAAAACAATGTCAATGTTATTGTTGTTTCTGCTTGTCAAAAAATGATTTCAGCAATAACATATGTTGTTTCCAAATAAAATTCGGTAAGAAACTGTTAAGATAGGCTTTAACTGCATGACCAAAATAACCAAATGTCTCATTTTCAACACCAAACATATCTTATGCTCTGCAGGCATAATGTTTTGCATCAGGTACAAATAAGGACACTTTTGCATAACCAGTCGAGGCGGTGGAAACAGTCATTGGACAAACAGTTTGTATAATTATACGATTATCATAGTTTTCATCAGATATCGATCGAGATAATTGGTTTACAAATGCCTTCGTCGCAGAGTACAATGATAAAAACGGGAATGCCCGATAACCAGAATGTGAACCAATGTTAATGATTGCCATATTTGATGTGTGTTGTTTCAACATTTTTGGCAATATTAGACGTGTCATTATAGCAATTGGTAAAGTATTACAAAATATTATATTCTTAATAAAATTCAATGTTAAATAATCTGTTGTAGCGTAGTAGTCTAATTTAGGCTGACCCATACCAACATTATTTACTAAACAAGCAATTGACGACAGTTGATCAATGGCTTCTTTGATCCTGTCATAAACAACAACCTGAGAAGCAGGAAAAAAAATGCATAGATGAGTATGAGATGTTTGCAGATGATTGGTTAGTTAGAGAATGGTTTGTGTGACTAATTGACTTAGATGTACAGTCGATCAATATTGAAAAGGAGCGATAATTGGCTGGTTTCTTTCACTAGCATGACTCACTCGCTCAACAACAAACTGGACACCATGTGTGTTCAGATAGATCAAGGACAAATTATGGAACGAATACACGTAAATAGTTGTTTGACAACTTATATGGTCAGCATTCTAAAAAGTAATTCGTTACATTAATCGAGACGGTCCCCTTTATTTTATGATAGTACATAAAAAATGTCATCCACTGAGCCAACAAATTTTTGGAATCTATGAAATACATACAAAAGATAAGCATTAAAATGATGGGCTGATAAATAATGAAGACGTTCAAACGAGAACACTAAAACATTGTTGTTAATACTATATCAATGAATATAACATCACCTGGAGTCCTCTGTGGCTACGTTTGGTCTCAACCTCGAATAAATGAGGAGGGTTGGATGTATGGTTAGCTACATCACCCCACAGAAATCCAACTCGCTGAAAAATCGCTCACCAGGAATAATAATCTAAATTGTTTTAACTCTTCCCTTTGATTTGGAAAGCCTTCGTTCAGATTAGTTACGATGCTTTATGATGAAACTCGAGTTCTTCCGGAAGTCGTGAGGCCGATGCTCCTTCTCACAACTAGAACAAAGATACCTTTACGTACATTGAGCGTTCAAACGTTGGGGGACACCGGATGACTGTTCCACGTCGCTGCAGATATGAAAAGAAATAACCTGGATGTGCTTGAGATCAGTGAGACTAATTGAACACCAGTTGGACGACTTAAACTATCTTCAGGAAAGCTGCTGTTATACTCTGGTGATAAAAAAGAAAATACATCATAAAATACATCACAAATCTTTAACACAGTCATTCTTCAGGGTACAAACAAACTCAACGATTCCAGGATAACCCTCAGCAATAGGTCCCAGTTTTTTCACGATCTACTCGATGGAATGAAAACAGTCACGGTGAACAACTGTGAAGGGATCAAGGAGGTAATAACATCAATATGTCATGAAGTTCTGCGCCACAGTAAGAACTAGCACAAGGAATGCGTTACTGTGGATACTCTAGATAGGACTCAAGAATGGAGGAACAAGAAGGCAGCAATCAATATCGGCCGAGCAAGAGCAGAAAAAGCCAGGGCACAAGCTGAATAAGCAAACAATCAAAAATGTGGAGAGAAGCATCACAGCCGACAAACATAAATATGTGCAAGGTTTGGCAATGTCTGCTGAAAAGGCTGATAGAGAAGTAAACATGGGACAACTGCGTGATACAACGAGGGAGACTGCTATAAATTATCGTAAACCGGAACGATGAGTACAAAGCAAGGAAAATGACACAAACAGCAAAATTGTTTAACAGCGAAACAGGTGTGTAGAGCACTTTGAAGAACTAATGAATTGACCAGCGCCACCAAACTTACTATTACCTTTATAAAATAACATAATGAATGATGCGTTTAAAGTGATCGATTAGATGTTATGTGTTTTAGTGTATACAATTATAAACATTCTAGTCATATGATTCAGATATACTTAACACTTGATGTACATCCTGTAACTGCCATGACAAATGTTCATCTATCTCCGAGTATTAGTGAGAAGTCATGACCAGTGAAGTCCAACCTGTTCGGATGTAGACAGTAACTACCGAAATCACTGTATGAGGTTGAGCAAGACCGTGAATTGATCAAAGTTAGACAGTGACACCGTCAGATACCGGCTCCGTAAGAGCTGACAAACGAAAATGTGTAGAATATCTAGCAATGACGGCGGAAGCGGTGACCAGTGCAATTCAGTCACATCGAGTGTAGGCAGTTGGTACCGAAGATAATGAGTAAGGTTAAGCGATCACTTGGATTGATCGAAGTTATTGATTAACACCGTTGCATACCGGCTCGGTGATTTAACGATAAAGCGATCACATGCGAGATCGACAATTCTGTGTTCCATCCCATTAAGATGATGTGGTGGATGAGCACTGTTGGCGAAGCAGTCCCATACTACAAAGAAACCGCCATCCAGTGCTTCCAGGTTTCTAATGATATTCTCACAATGATCTATCCAACATTTCAATAAATTTCTCAGAAATTCAGACAGATTATAAATAATGAAAAAAAATAGTTGAGTGGCTTAATGCAAACTTTATGAGATAAAAACTACCCTGGATAGAATTACAAAATGCTTACATTTATTGTCTGCACACACACACACACACAAGTGCCTAATGTTCACACATGAACACACTAAATGAATTCCTACTCACATTTTCAACCGCCTACATTGTCAATATTATAAATCTACATATTCACATAATCGATAAATGCCTACTTACATTTGTAAAATCAGCTGTTACAACTCTCGTCTCTGTGTGTGATATTTCTGTTCAATCTCATCAGCAACATATATTCAAGTTCCTGTCTATTTTTACTAATTAACATTATCTTCAAACCATCACTAGCCAATTCTTCCATCAGAGGCACCAGTCACAACTGCCCATTCACCTGCATGTTTTAATAGTTTCCTTTTAGAAAATAACCTTATTCCTATTTTATAAGTGAATAGAATCAATAGTAGAGAGATGAATTGTTTCAGCAGAAATAAACAAATGAGTACACTGATGAAATAGATCCAATCCATCGTCTACAGAGAAGTAGAAACGGGAGAGAAAGAAAACAGAGAAAATCAATCAACCCATTGAATAAGACAGTTTCATTGTTTCATATGAAATTGAACATTGACTACTGAAAGTCAACTTTACAGAATGATCATACTAACAAACAGATTTGAACGTGAGGGACTCGGTCATTAGCTAAGTGGATTCATACTGAAAATTTGCAAACTGTTGTTCGACATCTCTGCTTTACATATATACTTTTATGTATCGTGATAATTACCTACATACTTACCTGTTACCCCCAATGGAGCATAGGCCGCCCACCAGTTTTCTCAGACCAACTCTGTCCTGGGCTTCCCTTGCCAGTTCTTTCCAGTTTTTGTTCATTCTTCTCATGTCTCTATCTATTTCCCAGCGTAATGTGTTCCTTGGCATTCCTCCCTTCCTTTGATTTTGAGGGTTCCATGTGAGGGCTTATCATGTGACTCAGTTAGGTGCTTTTCGTAATGTGTGTCCTATCCACTTCCACTGCTTCTTCCTGATTTCCTCCTCCACTGAAATCTGGTTCGTTCTCTCACACAGTAAGTTGTTGCTGATAGTGTGTGGCCAACGAATCCGAAGTATTTTGTAAAGATAACTGTTAATAAATATTTTTTATCTCCTGGATGATGGATATCGTGATAATACTACTTACTTATATCTATTCTATACTTTAATGAGTTTACATTCAAACATTATTAGTTATAGTGGAAATCTTGCAAATCCTACAACATTCTACTCTTAGATTGAAATGACGATGACTGAAGAACTTGATCACATTCGTTTTGATCAAACTTCTCATCAATCTTACAATTGATAAACATATAATTTGTTAAAAAATCACTGAATATAAATTTAAACAACTTACTTCTGAATAAATCTTCTCACAAATGAATAATTGAACGAGTTACTACCAATGAACATGCTCAATATTAATTAATCTGTTAATACAACAGTGTGTTATTACATGTGTCCAATCAAATTTAGAGTGGAATAATCAATAGACTAACTCCGCCAGTAGAACCTTAGGGGCTACTGCCGGTCCCAAGCCCGGGTAAAGGAGGAGGGTTGGACATGGGGTTGGCGACCCCATTCCGTCAAAAACTAACTTGCCAAAAAAACGCTAACCAGAAAAAATAATTCAAACCATTTTAACTCTGCCCTGGGAGTTGGAGGAAGAATTATGACGTCTCATGATAAAAGCCGAGTTCGCTCGGAAGTAACGAGGCCGATGCCCCTTCTGACAACCAGAGCAACCATTCACTTAGGTACATGGAACGTTCGTACATTGTTGGAGACTGGAAGACTATTTCAAGTTGCTGCAGAAATGAAAAGATACAACCTCGAGGTGCTCGGCATCAGTGAAACGCATTGGACACAGGTAGGACAACTGAGACTAGCTTCAGGGGAACTGCTGTTATACTCTGGTCATGAAGAGGAAAATGCTTCACATACACAAGGAGTTGCACTGATGCTGTCCAAACATACACAAAAGGCACTGATAGGATAGGAATCTCATGGACCCAGGATCATTAAAGCATCCTTCAAAACAAAGAAACAGGACATTACAATGAACGTCATCCAATGTTATGCACCTACCAACGACTACAATGACGACGACAAAGATCAATTCTACGAAAGGCTGCAGTCAAACTTCGAGAAATGTTCACCAAAGGATTTGACGATTCTTATGGGAGACCTGAATGCCAAGGTTGGAATGGACAACACTGGATATGAAGACATCATGGGACGACATGGACTGGGAGAAAGAAACGAAAACGGTGAGAGATTTGCAAACCTATGTGCCTTCAACAAACTGGTCATCGGTGGCACAATATTCCCGCACAAACGCATACACAAAGCTACATGGATTTCACCGGATCACACTACTCAAAACCAGATTGATCATATCTGTATCAACAAAACGTTCAGAAGGACTATGGAGGATGTGAGAACCAGGAGAGGAGCTGATGTAGCCTCAGATCACCATTTGCTGATCGCCAAAATGAAACTGAAACTAAAGAAGCACTGGACAACGGGACAGACAACATCACACAAGTTCAATACGGCCTTTCTTCGGGATACTGTAAAACTCAACGAATTCAGGATAGCCCTCACCAATAGGTTCCAGGCCTTTCAGGATCTACACAATGGAGAGGACACAACATTGGAGAACAATTGGAAAGGGATTAAGGAGGCAATCACTTCAACATGTCAGGAGGTCCTTGGTCGCAAGAAGCAGCATCATAAGGAATGGATATCTGTTGATACTCTCGCAAAAATTGAAGAAACGAGGAACAACAAGGCAGTAATCAATGTCAGCCGAACAAGAGCGGAGAAAGTTACCGCACAAGCTGCATACACAGAAGCAAACAGGGAAGTGAAGAAGAGCATCAGAGCTGACAAACGAAAATACGTGGAAGATCTAGCAACGACGGCGGAAAAGGCTGCAAGAGTCGGAAACTTGAGACAATTGTATGAAACTACAAAGAAGCTCGCCGGGAACTATCGTAAACCAGAACGACCAGTGAAAAACAAGGAAGGCAAAGTAATCAGCAACACTGAACAACAGCGAAATAGGTGGGTAGAGCACTTTAAGGAACTCCTAAATCGACCAGCTCCTCTGAAGACACCCAACATCGAAGCAGCATCCACGGACCTCCCAATTAATATTGGCGCACCTACGATTGAGGAGATCAGTATGGCCATCAGACAAATCAAGAACGGCAAAGCAGCAGGACCAGACAACATTCCAGTAGAGGCAATGAAAGCAGATGTAGAAGCAACCGCAAAAATATTTCACATCCTATTCAAGAAGATTTGGGATGAGGACCAAGTACCATCAGACTGGAAGGAAGGATACCTCATCAAAATACCAAAGAAAGGCGATCTCAGCAAGTGTGAGAACTGCAGAGGCATCACTCTTCTTTCAATACCAGGCAAAGTCTTCAACAGGGTATTGTTAAACAGAATGAAGGACTTCGTAGACGCCCAACTTCGAGATCAACAGGCCGGATTTCGGAAGGATCGATCGTGTACTGACCAAATTGCAACATTACGGATCATTGTGGAACAATCAATTGAATGGAACTCAACACTCTACATCAACTTCATCGACTACGAGAAAGCATTCGATAGCGTGGACAGGAAAACACTGTGGACTCTTCTTCGACACTACGGGGTGCCTGAGAAAATAGTTAACATCATACGGAACTCTTATGATGGATTCAACTGCAAAATCGTGCACGGAGGACAGCTAACCGACTCTTTCGAGGTAAAGACCGGTGTCAGGCAAGGTTGCTTACTCTCACCCTTTCTCTTTCTACTGGTGATCGACTGGATTATGAAAACGTCAACATCCGGAGGGAAGCACGGTATCAACTGGACAGTTAGGACGCAGCTGGACGATCTGGACTTCGCAGATGACTTGGCTCTTCTATCGCACACTCAACAACAAATGCAAGAGAAGACGACCAGTGTAGCAGCAGCCTCTGCAGCAGTAGGTCTCAACATACATAAAGGAAAGAGCAAAATTCTCCGATGCAACACAACATGCACCAATCAAATCACTCTTGATGGAGATGCCTTGGAGGACATTACCACCTTTACATATCTGGGCAGCATCATCGACGAGAAAGGTGGATCGGATGCAGATGTGAGGGCACGGATTGGCAAAGCAAGGGCTGCATTTCTACAGTTGAAAAATATCTGGAACTCCAAACAGATATCAATCAACACCAAAATAAGGATTTTCAATACAAATGTGAAGACAGTTCTACTGTATGGAGCGGAAACATGGAGAACTACCAAAGCCATCATCCAGAGGATACAAGTGTTTATTAACAGCTGTCTACGTAAAATACTTCGTATTCGTTGGCCAGACACCATCAGCAACAACGTAGTGTGGGAGAAAACAAACCACATCCCAGTGGAGGAGGAAATCAGGAAGAGGCGGTGGAAGTGGATAGGACACACTCTACGAAAAGCACCTAACTGCGTCACGAGACAAGCCCTCACATGAAACCCTCAAGGCAAAAGGAAAAGAGGAAGGCCAAAGAATACATTACGCCGTGAAATAGAGAAAGATATGAGAGGACTGAACAAACATTGGACAGAACTGGAGGAAGAAGCCCAGGACAGAGTTGGTCTGAGAAAACTGGTGGGCGGCCTATGCTCCATTTGGGGTAACAGGCGAAAGTAAGTAAGTCATCAATAGACTATCAATGTCAGTTTCTGTTATTACTTATTTTTCTCTATTAATGTAACATGTTATTTCAAGTTTTAGCATCATGGCATATTTGTTAGGCATTTTCCAACTTTAAATTAGATGAACTCTATTTGTCTAAAATATTTGACAATAATTGACTGACCATCATTGAACTATATGTATATATATATATATATATATATATATATATATCTACAATGCTCAATCATTGTTATTGATAAGACAGTATGAAATCTATAAATATTCAAGGAGAAAATTAGGAAAAACATTCAATTTGGACATAATGTTAATCATCACACAATGGATTTAGTGTTAAAGTATCATATTCTAGTTTCGTCCTATTATACGAGTCATGAGTCAAGGCTAATAGGGTTTATTCTATTGAAGTGTAACGCGATTACCCAATGAACATTGTGAATGATGGTCGCACAATATCATGAATTTTCTCAAGTTATATATCAACACCTCTGGATGTCACCTCACTGGTCACGAGGTTGAGTGTTCGTGATTAATAACGCAGTTGGTGCGTTCGCAAATGAGCACTGACACTGATCAAACTCACCGGCACTGATCTACGCAGACGATGCGAAGATCTGGAGGTCCATTAGAAGCGAAGAGGATTCGACTGAGCTTCAAAAGGACCTTACATCCATTGAGAAATGGGCAGTGAAAAACGGTTTGAAACTCAACCAACCGAAGTGCCACGTCATGCATTTCCTGCCTCATATGACGCAAACCACCTACACTCTCAATGGAAGTCCGCTCCCTAATGTCTCCTCAGAGCGCGATCTTGGTTTAATAACCACAGAAAGCCTCCACACGAGTCCGAACTATGTAGGGGATGCAGCCAAGGCAAATGCGACTCTTCACTTTATGCGAAGACAGCTTGGTGCTATAACCCCGAAATTATTTTTAACCCTCTTTAAGACGTACGCGCGCCCACACCTGGAGGTTCACAACGTCATCGCACCCCCTCTGCTTAAAAGAGACATTAATCTCTTGGATCGAGTGCAGAGACGAGCAACGAAATGGGTGATAGGGTTGAAAAATAAACCGTACGACGATAGACTCCAGCTCTTGGGATTATTCCCACTGAGCTACAGGAGAATCAGAGGTGACCTGATTATGGCGTACACCATATTAAACACGCCCAACCATCCCAATGTGAGCATCTTACCGATGCATCACCACCACTCCCCTCGAGGCAATCCTCAAAAGATTGCACATCAAAGAGCAAACACTCAGGTTCGTGCACACTTTTTCTCATTGCGAGTCGTCGCAACTTGGAATGCTCTCCCAGCCGAGGTAGTTACAGCCCCCTCAGTGGACTGCTTTAAGAAGAGACTTGATAATCACGTACTCACATGCGGACTATCATCTCCCTCTTGGACAAGCTGTGCCTGATGCATATCTTGAGACCTGCTAGTTGTTACCATTGCCATCTCCTCAGATCACTTAATTAATTTAACTCGCCTATTCCTCTCCCTTGCTTACACTTCGGTCCTCTCTCACAATCTTCACTACCAATTATTAAACTAAATTCATCTATATATTACTCAGTTCTGAAATTTTACTCATATTATCATTTTAATTTACCCTTATTACTCTTATTACTCTCCACATTGCAACTAACTGATCTCCGGTTTGGTAATGTGACGGCTGCTAGTATCCAGAAACCCTACTGCCCTGAAACAAA